CTCCCCTGGCGATCCCTTCCCCCTGAATGAATAAACATATCCCCCTAACCAATGTCTTCCACCCCCCTTATCAGAAGCCCTCTAGATTCGTGGGTTCAATTCAGAACCTTCCCCTGTCCCAGAACCTTCTATACCCCCCCTATATAAGTATCCTGCTAATAAAGGAATCGGCCATTTTGCCAGACATGTAACCTGTGTGCGTGTCTCTTTCCCAAGCAAGATGCCCGCTGGGTCGGATGAATTGGCATATTCCCCCCAATTCGTCACACACCAATGTATTACCTGACATACCTGCTCATGAATATTTTGATGCAGCAAAGTGCATATGCACATGCCTGCTTTGCAGCATTAGAGCCACACTGCCTGACTACTCTGCCTGACTACTCTGTTAGAATTGACCATGTGTAATCTCTGCAGCAGCACTTAGCCTGCACTTGCACATGTTTGTAGCTGGGCTTGTTTTCCTCCCAAGATTGTACCTTGTGATGAATTGTGCAGATCGTCCTGTCTTAGGATGCCAGGCAGATTTCGAGGGGGAGGAGGGGGTGGCCCCTTACAGAGAAAGCAATCTCTTCTGTTCTCTTTGAGATCATCCCGTATGTTGGCATACAAATCATCAGGACTGTTGTGAAAGCTATATGAGTCTTCCTCTTCTTGATCTTCATGTTCTGTCTCCTCTCTGCTGTCTCTTACATCATCTTTCTTTTCCTCATCCACTTCAGCTTTGTGTTGGCATCTCGATCCAATTTCATATTGATCTCCGGGGTTCTGCTTGGCTTTTAATACTAAAGAATGCATTATTTCATTTAAAATTTGCCATCTGGAAACATTTCCCATTTCAAGGATTCCCACAGAAACAACACAATGGCTAATAAAACTTTTATGAACTGATACAGTAGAAAAGCTGTCAAATACATACCATCAGTGAACAGCTTTTTAAATATTTACCAAATGAGCAGTGGAAGTTTTCATTGTACCTTGCTACTCTGATACATGCCATCTTCATGTTTGCAATGTTAAACTCTTCTAGAGCTGCTGTCAGAATGAAATCACACACACTTTCCTTGCCTGCATAATTTGTATTACTTGATTTTCAATGTGGTACAGTGCAACACTTAACAAAATAAAGCCACAGTTCACATATCTGTGGTACTTGTTTTTATATAATGGGGTTAGAGTGCTTTCTCCTTAAAATGAAATAAACATTGCCCATGGGAGACATAAATGTACACCTGTGGAAAGAGACCTCTTCTGCCCAGGTGCCCAAGAAGGCCAGTGGCATCCTGGCCTGTATCAGGAATAGTGTGGCCAGCAGGACATGGGAAATAATTCTTCCCCTGTTCATCACTGGTGAGGCTTTACCTTGAGTACTGTGCCCAGTTCTAGACCCCTCAGTTTAGGAAGAATGTTGTAGTCCTGGAGCAGGTCCAAAGAAGGGCAACGAGGCTGGTGAAGGAACTGGAGCATGAGTCCTGTGAAGAGAGGCTGAGGGACCTGGGGTTGTTTGGTCTGGAGAAGAGGAGGCTCAGGAGAGACCTCATCACTCTCTACAACTACCTGAAAGGAGGTTGTAGAAAGGCAGGGATCAGCCTCTTCTTACAGGCAACCAGCAATAGGTCAAGAGGACACAGTCTCAAGATGCACCAAGAAGGTTTAGGTTGGACATTAAGAAGTTCTGCACAGAGTGACTGGCATTGGAATGGGCTGCCCAGGGAGGTGGTGGAGTCACCATCTCTAGAGTGTTTAAGAAAAGACTGGATATGGAACTTAGTGTCATGATCTAGTTGACAAGGTGGTGTTGGATCATAGGTTGGACTCGATGATCTCAGAGGTCTTTTACAACCTATCTGATTCCACAGTTCTGTGACTGCCTTTAGTAGCCCATGGACCACAGAACAAGAACACAGTGGAGGGATGTGAAAGTGTACATTTTAACTGCTATGTACATCATTAAAATTTTAGTCGTCAAGATCAGTAATATAACAGATTAACTACACAAGTACATCAGCAGACTTTACTGAACCCTTGAGGTAGCTTGCCATTCTGCGATATCCTTTTTGCCTTTCACCATTGATTCAAATGTGAGGTCAGGGCATTTAGCTGGCTAACGTGGCCAGCTGTTACAATTTGTGTTCTTCTTCCGTGTGTACACCCTGCAGTGTTCACATATACAGTGTGACAGAGACACTGAAAATTTACCAGAGCTAACTTGTTTTTTCCAAGTGTCTATCATCTACCTATATGCACTAAAGCAACCAGCTTAAATTTAGCAAATCCTTTTCATATGTATGAGACAGTTAAAAAGATAAAATTGTCAACAAGATAGAAAGAAAATAAAATCTAGCTTTATAGATCCATGATACTCTTAAGATATTTGCAAAATATAAGCCATCAATAAATGCAAATAAGCAACTTTGTTTGCAGTTTTCAAGGGGAATGCATATGACCACACAGATCATCAACAAGCTTGTCATCAATTTATCAAGCTGCAAAATGTCAACTATCTGTGCCTCCGTACAGGACTTGACTGCACCTGTAGGCAGTGCCTCCCCTTATCTGAAGGCTCTTCTCTGAGAACTTGGAGAATTCAGCTCTTTTCTAGGTTCAGAGTAAGGATGATAAATTTCCAGGATTTACAAGGAGGTGTGGTTGCACTGAGGTCTCTCTTGCTGAGTGATAACTTTGTTATCACAGCTGAGTCCCTCAACTGCCTTCCCCTTCTCCTAGGGCATCTGCCTTCCCTGGAAGTTGCAGTAGCATGTGCAAGTTGAAAGTGTTTGAATAATTTGCCCTCTCTGTCCATAACATCAAACACTTAATACAGCACATACCGATACTAATAAAACTATCTAAAAACATGACTTACCCATGGCTGGTTGAGTTTCCAAGCCTAACATGAGCTCATAAGTGTTATTGTCTTCTACTTCCTCCCTGCAATTGGTGAAATTATTTGCTGCGTTAACCTACAAAGAAAAATAAAGAAGAATATTTGCTGTAGTGATATCATCTCCTACCTTCACACTTTGCTACTGTTACAGTATTCAACATTCTACTAGGAGGAAAGTGGAGACAGAAACATCAGCACTTGCAACTATGTAATGATACACATATTTTGGCGAAAGGAACACATGTATCTGAATACATGTAAAGGACACAAGGTTCTGCCAAGAAGTGACACCAAGTTTGCACAGCAAGAATTGAAGCTAATTCATCTTTACCTAGAAGTGCACTGGGCTGTCCCAAGTCTGCTCCCAGCTGTGAAGCACTCATAGATAATGAGAAAGATCAGTAACAGAAAAACATAAAGATCGTAGGACATGACTCAATAGCTCAAGGGTGTACACAGTGCAAGAAATCTCTAGAGAGCTCATTACAAACAGTTCCTGTATCCCAGTGGTTGGTACCAAAAGCCGCGTCTGCACTGAAAAACCAGAAATGGGACTGCAAAGAATGTCAGCAGTTCTACCTCAGCAACCAAATGTGGCTAAGTGGTTTTTTGTTCCTCTAGAAAGTTGTTACGTTTATATAGCGCTATTCAAAATTAGCCTCAGGAGGGTCAGAACAATCAGTTTTCTAAAACATAATCAATGTATTTCTTCAAGCAGAAGAGATGCAAACCTCTGGTCACACACAGCAGTTAAAAGCAAACCTGTATTACAACTATAGACAGTTTTGTTGTCTTATAGAACATACATTTGTTAATTGTTGATTTTCAGAAACAACTGGAATTTCAAAAAGTGATCTTTTTTTGAAGAAACTCAACAGGACCTTGATTCCTATGTAGATGGGATATGAAACTATCCCTCACAGACACAATGGAGCCCTCAATAATTATTCAGGAATTTTGCAGCACAAAACTCTGGGGGTTTGAATACATCAACCCCAAAGCAGGCAGGGAAACAGCATGGTCCATATATCATCCAGACTACACAATTAATTACAAGCAGAATAGTGGACTGTGGACTTCACAGTCAAGAGGAAGAACTGGTATGTAGTTACACCATTCTGCATAGCACAGGAACTGATTCTGAGGAGCTCATGCCAGGCTCTCAAGAAGTTTGTTCCTAGTATCCTACTGTCTCCTGGCACCCACAACCACTGTTCTCAGGGCCAGAGCTCTTGTTGCATGAAAGAGGAAAAAATTTTGAGAAACAGAGGTTTTTTTCTGAGGAACTGAGAATGCCTTCTTTCCAGCAGCTCTTGCACACAGCCACTTCATGAATATCAGTTTGGAGACAGTGCAGCCATCAGACGGCACAGCAGATGCCTCCCTGGCCTGCTTTGTTGCTCTAAGGATATGCCTGGATCGCCACACAGCTATGCTTGCCTCCAACAATAAACTATTAATCTCTGCCTTCTGTGCCCATGCAATGTGTGCATCAGTGAGAGAATCCTGTTTTTCTTGAACTTCCCCATCATTTTTGTGCTTCCTCTATATTTTGCAGAAACAGGATGCTTCTTAAAAGCCCCAAAGTTAGAGCTTTGCAGAATACTTATTTTCAAAAGATTTAGGCCT